GCCAGGCCCGCCCGCCGGCCGCCCGACGACGGCCACATGGCGCCCGCCGCGGGGGCTAATGGCCGCCCTTCCCGCCCGCAGGGGTCACCAACGGCCGCCCTTCCCGCCGGCAGGGGTCACCAACGGCCGCCGCCGGCCCGCGCATGCGCAGTGCGCCGGCCCTGAGGCGAGGCGCTGCCTGGCGGGGGCGGGGGGGAGGGGGAGCGAATGGCGGCAAAATGGACGCCGCGGGGCTGGGGCCTGTGGGGGTCGTGTGGCCGCCTACCCCGCTCGGCCACACGGATAATGAAAACGTCTCCAGCCCTCTCTGTCGCCAAGGTGGAGCGCGAGGTGCTGAAGGGCATTTGCAGCCCTGCTCTATTAATTAACAGATTAATTAAGTCACCCCAAGCGCAGCCAAGYGAGCGCCCAGCGCCTCGTCAGGGAGCTGCAGGAACGTGCCTGGACAGCGCCGGTCCTGCCGAGTGCTGATCCGCGCTGGCAGGCGAGCGCGGCTGCTCCCCGGCTACACAAGCACCTGGGTTCMCAGCTCTCGGCTGCCTTCCCTTGCTCCCCGGGGGGATTTTGTAAGCAGGAAGGTTCCAGACCAGGACTCGTAACTGATGGTGGTGCCTGGGGATGCTCTAGTCATAAATAACCCCATCGTGCCTTCACCTTCCTTAGTACAGAACTCAAAGAGGAGCCAAACATCACATAGGTCAAGTACTAGATCACAAGAAGTTACCTGGTCCATCAGTGGGCACAGCATTGTCTGCAGCGTTAAACTGAAGAAGTATTTATGAGAATGCGTCACTCCCTCCTCGTGGCAGCCACCGCAGGGACAACTTACCTGCTACTGGAAATTCTACCTCACCACTCCCTATTTTCCTAATTACTTCTGTCATTTTGCTAGCAGTGGGCTTTATCTGTTCATCTAGAGTATCCCTAGCATGGGGGAAGCAAGGTGTATATATATTATTAAAAGCTTTCTTTCCTCTGGCTGCAGCTTGACGCCTCTCCTGGCTCCTGTTTCCTTATGACATTTGAGGAAATGCAAGCCTTGTTGTTAACTCTGAAGTTATATGAGTAATTGATGCTTGAAATAAAAGAGTAAAGCTTGCCTCTAAGTGTGTTTGAATCATCTGTGATATATGGATACAACCTATTATAAATGGACCTGAGAATCTCTTGGTAGTTATTAGTTTCTTACCCACATGAAACAAGTTAAGAGAAGACCTGCTAAAATCTGTAAATTACATTTAGGCTAAAATGCAGAGATTATCCCATGGAGTGACTGTTGCTTTCCTCAACAAGTCCCAAAGTACAGACACACATACACACACACTATTAAATGAAGACAAAACTAGGTTTTATGCATTTTACAAAAATAGTTTTTGATGAGATTTAATGCCTGTCTCTGTTTTACAGATGTTCCAGACAAAAGCTACCTGCATATTTTATACATAAGAACAGAACAAGTTGGAACATCCTCTCTGAGCTCATCTTGTTTGAATGAGTGTAGTAGGTCACCTAGGTAAAACCTGCCTGTAGCTTGTTAAAAACATCATGTTAATGTCAAGTTTTCCCAACAATGATCCAGGAAAAAAAAAAAACACAAAAAAACAGTAGTTCCTTACAATACAGTTAAGGAATGGCTGTTTAGGTAATAATAATAAAATGCACCAATGTTGTCATGAACCTAGTAAGCATTCAAAATGACTAATAAAGTTATATAGCAATAGAGCACTGATAGGTTAGATCTTTTCTGTTTAAGTTAATTAGGAAGCTAGAAAATTCTTTCTTAACAAAATGATGACCAAAGAATACCAGAGACCTTACCCTGGAGAGGTTATTTTCATTGGATGTTTTGCAACCACAGGCAAAACAAGGTATTTTAGCCTCTAGAGAGGCCAAAAGACTGCATTTTGAGACTTCTTGTATTATAATTCTCCCTCCCAAACAAGATTTACAAAGCAAATGCTAAAACTGTCTCAAGTTAAGATACAAATAAATAAACTGGAGTGATATGACTCCAACAGGATACTCTTGACTTATGCTACAACAGAAAATAGTCTCTTCATAAATCTGAGCATTGAGTTGTTTTAAATAGTTTACATACGATCCAAGCTCTGCGACTTGTCACTTATTTTTGGTTCTTCTTCTCCCTGACCTTTAGAACATACTATGAGGGATTCAGAGAGATTAGTTATATCCACTTCCAGAAGTTCCAGAGGCTCTCACAGGTATCCAAGTCCTGCCAAGGAAATCTTAAACTGAGGTCTACTGCCCCACTATAGCACTTAATGACAGAATGAGATTTTAATTAACTCCTGCTGTTAAAATTCAGCATGCTGCCAAATTTTAGTCTCGAGTTTGCAGGCCTAGACTTAAGAGTTGAATTTCAGGAAAGACAGCAGCATTATTTATTAGCACTTGCGAGTCCAGTCTCACAGCAATTAAGGAAGGACTCAAGTCACTCTTCAAGTTAGTGGGCAAGGACAGTGGGGAAGTTGCACCTAAGACGGGTACCCCGTGGATACCCCAYGGGTACCCGAGGGCAGCAAGCGAGGCCGGGCAGCCCTCAGTTCCGAGACTCCGAAGAAGTTGGGCTGCGAACGGTTGACATCAGGTGGGACTTGTACGTCTTGCTCAGGCCCGTCATCCAGAACTTRAGAAGCTTGACGTTGTCTTCCTCTGCAGCTCCCAGGATGCTCAACAGTTTCTGGGTGTCCTCTTTGGGTCTGCTGTCCACTTTAGTGAATTTGAAGAGGACCTTCACTTTGCTGCAGAAACAAGAAATTCCTGTCACTATTACAATGGATCTGCACACATCAAATTGAACACTGTGAGCAGAATGAATGGTAGCATCTGTGGGTGCCTAAAGAAACTAAATGTTAATAAAAACTTTAAAAATATATATATTCCAAGGAAACTATTTTCATGCTTTAAAATGAGGAAGCTGGGTGGGAAAGGAATAGGAAAAAAAGGGGAAATTAGTGGTCCTTTTCACTAGCAATGCTCCTAAGTCTAGTGTGTTTTTTCATTCCACTGAAAAGTTAAATTGATTAACTGGGACAACTGGAAATCTTTCCTGGGAGGCACATTTAGCATCCATCTGGCCTTCAAGTCAATGTTAAAATCATATCAGTTCATAAATTATTTCATCTGAACTGCTTGCCATCTTTGAAATGCAGTGCCTGAGGGTACAACCATGACATYTGTTTGGCATGTTGTCTGCACTAGAACGTAGCGTATATTGACAGGCTTATACATATTTGCATACTTAATCGTCCTAATCTATATAAGGCTGGCAAGTATTGTCATGTAGGTAACTTACAGATGCATCAACTGAAGTGTAAACGCTGAGAACCAAAGAAAGTCAATAGGTAAATCAGTCTCGGGTAGAACTCTCTCTTATTTCCCAACAGCAGAGTTAACTTTGACTTTAGTCTTGATAATAGTAATCTGGCTAGAAATTTGTTCTTTATTCTGCAAAAAGTCATTTGGGGATTCATGGGGAAGCTGTTTCATAAAAAAACACTGTAGKTGCACTTACTTCATCCACTCTTCCTTTAGGCAAACAAGGCACTGATCCACAACATCTACGGACAGGTTCTGGTTGGTCAGAGCAGCTTCAATTTTGTTGAGGATGGTGGGGCCAACTACAAGAACAGAAAGGAGGAGAAAAAGGGTGAGAAACAGGACTTGGAAGTTACATATTCTCCACTGCATCTTTACTACTAATCATTGCAAGGAGTGGGCCATTGATTCATCCTATAAKCTCTAATGTATGTTTGTTCCACCTCTTTATCAGTTGCAGAGCACTGATTTGCGCTCATTTTTCACTAGTACTTCCACTTGATTATTAACACTGTCCTTTCTACATGCAGAAGGGTATACCATTACATTAATAACATTAATAACAGCACAACACATTATAATCTGAGAGCTAATCGAGCCAACTTCTTTTGTAAGCCAAAAAGAAATCCACCTGTTTTATAAGGTGAAAAAATAGTCTGCCTTGATTTAATTTCCAAGGAAGAGGAGTTAAAGATCATCTCAGTAGGGAAAAACGTCTGATTCAAGAAGTAAAACAAGATTTTACTCTTTAAAGAATATGAGAACACATACACACACAGAAGTTCAGGGGTCTTTGTTTTATCCAGACCCCGTTAAATGAAAGTTGCTTAAATTCTGTTTTATCTAGTCTCAAATCAAAAGCTAGTAGAAATGCAGAAGCTTCCTCCAATATGAAAAAAAAGAAAATCTTCATTTTTGTATAAAATCTCTTATCATTCTGCATGTATATATCCTCTTTGACTGTCCATCAAATGGAACACTAACTTGCAGCTGGCCTGTACCTGTAAACGTGTTTTACTTTTGTGTATTTGTCTCTGAACGTCACTATGGTTACATTTGAAATCAAAAAAGGTCATCTTTTCAAAGCACCCACCTCGATCTGCAGCAACAGGGCTACCGCTGGTGACAACAAACTCATACTTGTTGAGGGACTGCTCGTCCTCAAACAGAGTTGGGTAGAGGTTTGTCCGAGTCGCAGCGCGAACTTCCACCAGGACTGCAAACTCTAGAGCAACAAAAGTCCAGAAAAACATCAACTCAAATAGCCCAGATTCTAAAAATACAGCTAGCTGCTTGCTCCAAGAAAGCCTGACTTGGGCAGCTTATAAGACTCGGTCCAGCAATCACCTTTGCTCATTAGGAACCAGTCAGCTATGGTATGACCAGCACTGCCCGCAGATACCACACCAGRGGCACTAGCTTTAGTCCATGCAGTATTGTTGTATGGCAGAAAGACACAGAATAAATAAGCCAAGATGGTAGGAAAAAAAGAGAGGGTTTTGCAACAGATTCTTACCGGATGATAGGATGTGGGRTGGGATTTGTACGTGGGGGCTAAGCCCTAGGAAGTTACAGCGATACGCCTCTTCRTACTGGTCACTGTAGGGGATGATCCGCACGCAACCGACAGGCAGCATAGTCTAGTAAAGGAAGGAGACACATCAAGACCGAACCTGGAACTAAACCAGTAAAGTAGAATTTTTCTTCCCCTGATTTGCAGGGCCAGCCAAGGCTTTGAGCACCACTAATGAAGTTTCTGTTGATCTAGGGGATTAGAGGTATCTTAAACAACTTGGAAAACTATGCAGCTGCTACACAGAAGACAAACAAAATGACTTTTTTTTTTAAACACATAATTTAGAATACATTCTCCACCAGATTACACGCTAGAGACGGGCCATTATGAACGCTTGACTACCAAGGAAATATGTGTAAAAAAAGGTAGCCAAAAAGCAATGGAAAAAGTTCCTACCCGTAGCACCTCAAAAGCAGACTGGACAAGATCCATGTCTCGAGCTTTCCAGATGACCTGGTTCCCCATCAGCACATGCCAAGCCAGCATGCGGAATGCTGATGCCCCGAGAACCTGAAACAAAACCATTCTGCATTGGCAACGAAAATTAGTGAAGTAATTATTCTGGCCTGTTAAATACATTACTATCTCATAAGAAAACCACTAAGGAAAAAAAAAAGGCACAGAAATAACATGAAAGTTCTGATAGTGTTATACACAGAGTAAGAGAACATCAAGGTTAAGTGTTTGAGGGTTTGTTTTGGGGTTTTTTTGACAGGAGGTATCGGACTGTCTTGCAAAACAATCCCCTCTCCATCCATGGTTTCAAGATGAAAGAGCAGGAAAATATCACCATATCAACATGCCTAATCCAAGATCCAACTAAGCACTAAGCTCAATAATGGAACAACAGTTTATTTTCCAGCTTCCTCCAAATCCTTTAGTTAGGGATTGCATGAATTAGTCCACTTGTTGGACAAGTTAGTGGTTTCGGTATAATGGCTACACACCCATTTAGAGAAGGACTAAGCTTTATTAGATGGCAACAACTTTCAAGCATTTCTCTGATCTGGGTTATGTTCACAACAATGATGCAGTCGTGAAAGATGAAGCAATATTCCTAGACAAGCCCATACATGCGTGAATTTGCAGGTGGCACACTGATACCTTCAGACATYCCAACATAAGGAGACTAAAGGGATAAAATAGTATAAAAATCAAAAACATGGGAGTTCATCTGTCAAGACTGTCCAGAAAAATAAGCTGCCRCGAAAGAGATTGTGGAACAAATGCACTGAATCTTCTCCCTCGTCCACGCAACTAGAAGAACTGAAGAAAAACTAAATCTGCACAGAACTATTTGTTTGGTTTGCCCATTTTCTTTTCCCCCTCTCAATCACTTTTTTTGTAAGAAAATGAAACTTGGCTTTGAAAGTGCTGCACGATCTCTGTATTAGATTTTTGTCATTGCTCTTGGGAACAGGACAACTGCACAATTTGAGAGAAATCATATGATGACCTCCCACGTGATCCTCAGAGGCCCAACACAAAAGGACGATGATCTCAGAGACAAGCAGCGTCATTAGGGATGCAGTTAACACTGTCACTAGCTTTCAAATATCAAACTGTTTCATGGTTGTTTGTTGACTCAACTAACTAGCAAGGCAAAAGCAGGGAGCACAAAGAACCATGGCAGAAAGCAAGTGCAGACTGCAGGAAAAAAACCCAAACTGATTAAAAGACCTTAACAGGAGAACAAGAGGTTATTACTTTTGAATCCAGCATACATCAGAGCACGAGGGTGCTTCTCTTACTTGTCTCATGTGCCTGAGGGAACGAAAGACAGACAACCTCCTGTGAGCCACATTCCAGCTATTGCAATCTGGCATTAGAGATGTTTCAGGTGGGCATTTAGACACTTCCTGCCCTTCCACAACATCTGTCTGGGCAGAAGGCTTCTCTTCTTCCTCAGAACCATCCCATCCTTCTGATTCTTCTTTCAGGTCTAGATCAAAAAAAGCAAAATTGCTGCTCTTTAGGAATGGAAACTGTCTTAGAAGTCCCTACGCACCCTGTAGCCAACTCTTTTTTGCCTAGAGATGAGGAGAAGCAGTTCACATTGAGAAACACTGAAAATACTAGTAAAATTCACAGACAGACCAAAGAAAGAAGTGTAATTGTATTTCATACTTCAGATGCAAGATAACGTGCATAGAATTTTCATATATAGAACATGYCTCTTCTTTTGACCAGCTATGCATTCCCTATTTTTCCTTTAAAGGTCATGACTAAAGTTTTCTAGATTCTAATCTAAATAGATTACAAAAATAATTCAGCGTAAGAAAAAAAAATGTATAATCCTTTTAGAAATTGAGTGAAAAAATTATAGAGGACAAAGTTTCATATCTTGTGACTGTAAATTCTCCTGGCCATTCTTTGGGAGGCCAGCCCGGCCACCCAGCATCACTGCTRCCCAAGTGGAAAACAACACGTGTGCGTGCAGAGTCTATGAGGCCAAGGGACTTATCTCACATTTGTGACAAGACTTATCTGCATATAGGAGAACACATCAGCTACTGCATGGACTACCATAAAGGGGAAGTCTGACAGATGGCTCCACTTAGGATGCTGATGAAAGGAGTTGGTGTTTCACCATCCACACTGTTCTCAAAGGTTCTTCTGGCTCTAGAAACTTAAGTCTCACCTGCAAGTTTTTCCATCTGAACRAGGGTGTCTTCTGTTGGTGCTCCCTCTAGGAGCTTCTCTGTAAGTCTGCTGCCACAAGCTTTCAAAAGCCTGGAAACATGGGAAAAAAATAAATAAGAGAAGTGCTCATTAAGCCTACTTGCTGGGTACAAAACTCTTGGTGCAATGAGCTTAACAAAAAATCTGATCACTCTCTGAACCCTCTGCAGTTCCTGTGAACACTTCTCAGTGTTTTCTTCTACGTGTAACTGTCACTGCTTCTCACAACTACTGCCACGCAGTCACTGGCCTGTCTACCATTTTGCAATTACCTTGTGCAACACTTATCCCCCATCCAAGTCACATGCCAGTGTTGCAACCCTCTCCATGGCATCTTTCCAGGGAAGTCTGATGAGCAAGTCAGGCATGGAGCAATGTGCTGCGGAATCTCACGGACACACTACGGTGCCAAACGCTGCATCTCTCTGCGAGCTGCATCACACAACACAAGGGCACCTCCAGGTGAACAGCTGCTGTACTTCAAGTGCGAATCCCAGCTCCAAGACTAGAGCTTGGAATGTCTTTTCTTGCTTTTTTTCCACACTATGTTCCATACTACAGAGCCATTCCATCCAGATGGACGTGGTTTCCATTAGCAACCACATTAATAGATTTGTTTCACAGCAAGAGAACTTTCTGCCCTAAAGGCACCAGAAGGTTGCTGTCTTTCTGTGCTTAACTCCCTCTCACTCAGGGACTGCTCTGCAAAGCCCAGCTTCCTAATCGAGGACAACCACCCAAACACTCATTTCATGTTTCCACCATTTCAGAAGATAAGAATTTTCTGTTCTTGGAGGAATCGTAGAACCCAGAAACATTAAATGCATTACCAAGCAAAGGAAGTATGCAAACATGCCCACAGGTTTTCATCGTTGGTGAGAGACGTTAAGGAGCGAGCGGCATTCCCATTCCGCTGGTGCAGGAAGGGAGTGAACGCCGTGTTCATCCGCTGGGCACGCTGAGGGCACCCGTACTGCTCTGCTTCAAACACCTGTGGCACAAAATAAAAGGCTTAAGCAAATCCAAGGCAAAACAACAGCCAAAAAGAGCACAACACATACAGTCACTCAAATGGCACTGGAAATAATGGTATAGAGAGGAAAATCTTATTCAAAAATTGACTAAAACGATGATCAAGCAATACTCATGCTTCCCGAAAGGTTCTTCACAACTTGGGATACTTGAATTTCTAAGGGTGCTGTGAACTGAATTTCAGGCTGTGAAAAATGGACGACTGGTTTAAATTGACTTGAAGTTTGTTCCTCCTCTCCTACGCCCAGATACAAGACTCTTTTCCCTTGATGCCGACTTTAACAAGCTTCCTGGCTGCAGTGACCTGCATTAGCTTTCTGATTCATCTGTAAATCAACTACTATAAAGTTTTAGAAAATCTGACCCACCTTGAGTGCTTTGCCTTGAAGTTCATCAATGATGCCTCTGATTTTTCCCAACAAGAAAGGCCAGGAGTTGATGAGATAGATCCGGTCCATCATGATGGTGATGATGCTGTACCAGCGCTGGAAGCCACGAGCCAGGCTGTCTTTGATGAAGAAGGTGTGGCTGAACACAAAGCCATGCTGTTCATCTCCGAAAAAAATAGGGCCTTCCCGCCCTGGGCAGACCTGAAGAAGAGGGACACGCACATCAAACTGGTTCAGCACATCACACAAACCTGCTTGTACAAAGCTTCCTGCTCTTTAACACTCCCTGCTTTATTGCAGAAAGAAAAAATTGCATTTAAACAAACATAAAAAAGGGAATTTCCTATGATCGCAATGGGAGAGGAAGAAAGCCCCAAGGATATCAAAGATCAAACCCCAAAATTCCAACCAATCCTGGAATGAACAGACTCCTGTGTCTTTCCTTCCACCTCCATTCCTTCYCTTTTTCCAGGCTGCACAGAGTGGCTAAGCAAAGCAGTATCCTGGATTCAGAGCAATGCATAAGCCCACAGAGGGGTCTTCTCCCCGGCCTCCCAGCCAGTTACCTCACAACTGAGGCTGCGGACGCAGGCCTGGCGCACGATACTGAACAGCTGCGGGTGATTGGGGTGCTGGTGACTGACGTACTTGATTGAAGTCTCCTTGTCGTGGCTGACGTATCCGGGATGTCCTCCTGCAAGAGAGCGGCAACCCTGAAGGCAGAAAAGCAAAATCCAACTGTAAATGACTACGCAGCTACCTAAGGTTTCCCAAGGCTTCTGCGTTTCCCCTTCTTAGGGTGCGGAAGGGATACTGACATTTGCAGATGCAAATGCAAACATTAATTAAGTTGGACACAGGATGTTTGAGGCAAGGTCGGAGCTTGAATGCAGCTCCTCATTTAGCTCCTACGGGCTGTTTCCTCAGGTACTTTGTATTACTGGTAGCCACATAGARAGGGTTATGTTTCCTCAGATATCTTTTATCACTGGTAGCCATATAGAATGACAAGCACAGGTCACATGTTTGGGTTTTCTTCCTCCTAAGCAATGCACTTTGCACTGGAGAACCCACGAGGCCTTTAGCAAAGCAAGAGGCCGYGGATGTCTGCACAAACACACACTTGCCTCGCACATGTCGGACTTCTTGGGCCCTGGGCTGCTGGAGTCGGCGCTGGCACCTTCGGCAGGGCTGTGCGAGCGGATCCTGCTGCTCATCTGAATGCCRCCTTCCTCCTCCTCCGCCTGCTCACTCTGCCCCGCGAGGTCCCCGCTGCTGGCGCCCTGCGGCAGCGGCGAATGCAGGACCTCGGTGCAGAAGAGCGTGCGGGGGCCGTGCAGCTCGCAGAAGTGRCACAGGGCGACGATGGCGTTCATAGTGAGGGCTCAGCACACCGGCCGGGCCTCCTAAAGGGAGGCAGCCAACAGCGTCACTAAAAAAATTAAGGCACCCCATAGACCCATCCAGCATGATCCCTAATGCATTCTCCCCTGTGAGACCGTGGGGTTAAGCCCGGCTCAAGGGACTTTGTGCTCAGTTCATTTTCCCCACAGTGGAAGGCGCRGACGGCACCAGCTTGAAGGGGATTCTCCCCGTGCCCCAGCGCGGCCCTGGCCCCAAGCTCCCCACAGGACGGGCCCCACCGGGTGACAGACCCCCACAAGGAAGCGGGACCGGCTGCTCGCAGGGCACCGGGCCCGCTGCAGGGAAGCGGGGCCCAGGGCACAGCCGGCCCCACCGACCCCTCAGCGGCACCGGCCTGCCCTCGGGCGCGCGCGGGCCCGGCCGCGCAGGCCTCGAGGGGGTGACGCCGAGGCCGCGGGCAGCTCAGGGCGCGAAGCGAGGCGCGGGGCCGGCGCCCCAGGCCGCGGCCCGGGCCCCCCTCCCGCCGCGGCCGGTCCCGGTCCCGACCCCAGCCCCGCTCACCGCCGCTCCGGGCGCGCCTGACACACCGCCGGCCCGCACCACCCCTGCGGGGGGGGAGGAGCGGGGAACATGGCTGCCCCGTTCCGCCCGGGCTGCCGCTAGGGGCGGCAAGGAGCGGGACGGGGMCGCAGCGACGGCGGCTCCGAGCGGCGGTAACGGAGCCGAGACCCGCGCGCCGCTTCCACGAGCGCCCGCCCGCCCGCTCCCCCCCTGCGGAGCGGCAGTGGTTCAGTCCACGACCGGCCTGTTCATAGGCGTTGGGCAGAACCACAGCCCAGAAACAGGGGGGGGAACTAACGTGGTAAATTCCCTTCCCTCTTCGTGCCCCGCACTCTCGCCGCGCTGTCCACAAGCAACAAATCCCGCCTAGGCCTAGGACGGGACAGGGACCAGCCGCCTCCTGCCACCACCGCGGGGTCGGGCCCTGAGCCGGCCCCGCTTCCCCCCTCMTGGAGAAGATGGTGCAGTCCAAAGGTGGGTCACATGACGGCCGCCCCGGCGGGGGGGGGGTGGATCGCGCATGCGCCTTGGGCGCATGAGCAGCACGAGCTGGGGCCTGGTTTAAAACTTTCCGCATTAAATATTAACTTCTTATTCCCCCTTSCTTTGTCATAGTGAATACAGATACATCTAGAAATGAACCCAGGCCCTTCTCAGAGGGAAGAGCCTCCTTGCAGTAAAAGGAAGGAGCCCATCTATGAGCCCTCTGCCCCCTTCTGTCATTGCCAGTGTCCTTATGTCCGTGTTTATCCCCAGGAAAAGTGAAGGGAAAGGTAACCCCAAATTCCAGGGGTTGCGATTTTCCTTTCAGGCTTCAAAATAAGCAGCTGTTGGCTTAACCCCGTCCTTTTACAATTGTTGGTGACCCCTACACTACTTAAGCCTTCCTCCATGTGGTATCAGAGAGCTGGAGCATTTTTGGAAACGGGACTAAGCTAAATCCAGGATTGTATTATTCTCACACAAACACATACACAAAATTGAGTAATTAAAAATAAAACCTACATTTTTAACATTGAGCGGCATAGACGCTGTTTTCTGCAGTTTAAGCCTCAGAAGTAGCGCACAGTCGTGGTGCTCCATGGAGAGGTGCCCTCAGATCCTGGGACCGTGCCTGGATTTGGAAGTTAACTCTTCTGTTGGAAAAAAAAAATGGCAGATGGTCAATGAGAGCAACGATGATCATAACATAAGAAATGACGTTTGAATGGAAAGAGATCCCAGTTGCAGCAAATGCTTGATCCCGAGCCTATCTCATCCCAAAGCCCATCTTGAATTGGGCCAGCAGCAGCTCTCTGTAAGGACATCCTGTGCATTTGCACCCCAAAAAACTCTTTTATTAGAGATACAGCAGGAAATCCCCAAAAAGCTACTGCCAGAGCTCACACATCTGTTCCCAAGACATTGTCCCACACAGACAACAGGTGTTCCCCTCCAGCCAACCATAATTGCTCATCCTGAGAAACCACAAGAACAAGAGATCCCCCAAAAAGCTAGGAAAAGGCCCAGCAAGACAGACCTACCCTCTCGTTCTTTCAGACCAGCCATTTAAGACAAATTAAGAAGAATTGCTCATTTGTCATCTTTATTTTCCAATAGTACATTTGAACAACGTCTCAGGTCTACCCTCCTCAGCCAGTTTGGCCATGCAGAAGACAATTCCTACGTTATACAGAAAAACCTGTGGAAAAACGACACACGAAACGGCTGGCAGCCGCGCTGTGGAGAAAGGGGGATTTGTATAGGAGGCGTCAGCTGGAGTTAGCGAGAAGCATATGGTGCAATGGCAGCACTGCAGGTGCATTAGCCAAGATCACGAGTCAGGGCTCCCCAGGGGCACAAAAACAGGAGAGGTGGTTGCAGACAAGCAGCTTTGAGCCATTTGAAAGAAAACAGCAAGAAATACCCATGCACGTCAGCACCTGCTAGGTATAACCAAACTAGAGACCCCTCCTGTGGCTGAAAGGCGTAGTTGCAACCTCGTGCTGCCTTCATAATTGTGTTTTATATCTTGGTTAGTTAAGATGTGTGAAAATAGGATGAGTTAGATATCAGAGCAGGCGTGCGGCGCTTTGCAATTGCACCTTGCAGTCATGCACAAGGGGAAGAACTAGCCCCAGCGCTCCTCTCATCCCGAGTTCAGAGAAACACARCACGCAGTGGTCTTATATTCTACAAAGTCCTTCCTTGCAGCAGCTATAGGTTAAAACCAGCAAGCTCGAGTGTTCTCWAAGCTTCATGGTTGGCCACAGCCCATGCTCTTAGTTCCAAGACCGGAGGGGGCTACTCCATTAAAAATCTGGAAGACTTGATTTCAAGAGGATCTCAAGAGGTGCAGATGCCAGGTGTTACGTATTCATCAGATCTCTAGATAGAAGCCTTTTTGCAAAGCACTTGTRGTGAACGTTTTCCATCTACTCAACTCTAATAGTGGGACCTGACTTTAAATTTTCAACAACCATCAGAGTTCAATGGCACGCTTATTCACAGCAGGAAAAAACAACATCAAAAAAACAAAACGCCCACAGAAGAAACACAAAATGTTGGCAGGTCTCTTAACTTTCAAAGCATTGCCCTTAAACAAATGAAGAAAAATAGCATTATGTTTAACCTGACACTATCACAAAGCAATCTCGACCTTCCTTTTGAGGTGTAGTATGGATTTACTTCACCTACTTTAGGCAAGAAAAAGAAAAAAGCTGCTATTTGCCACTGCTCTCAGCAGTTACGCCAGGTTCACTAAGAGGCACTAGTGCTGCGAAACCTTAGCCGCRTTAAGAGGACATTTCTGGTTCTTCTCAAGCCTCTTGAAATCACTCTTTGTACGTTCTCCTCCGTCAAGCCAGCCCTTGCTGACGGAAGGGGAGCTTTGCACACACTCGTCTACGTGGCAGGCAGGGGTTAGGCACTGTCAGTACTTCTGGTGACTGCTGCATGTGATTGCAAACGCTTCTGCAGCCCAACTTGGTGCTTGCGCCCGCAGCGCTATGAATCACTTGTTTAACACTTCCACAGAGCAGAAAATTGTGTAAGCATGTCCAGCACTGCAATCACTGCAGGATTACCTAGGAAAAGACTTGAAAGATCATAAATATCTTTAATTACAGGACTAGTAAGGCAAATTATGAAAAAAAAAAGATTTTGCTTTAAGATTAGGTGTAAGAGTTGCCTTTGAATGTGGAAGCCGCTGTGATAGGAAGCACAAGTACTCAGTGGTGAGCTACAAACACTATGGACCTATGCTGTGTTTGCTACTAAATTGCTATTTTATACCTTATTCACCTAAAAAGAACAGCCTGGGGACATTTCACTTCTACCAGAGAGCACACCCCTGTCAGAGAGGCTCTGCTAGAACCTTGATGGCAGTTTTAAATGAAAACCCCGACAGTTCTGTATCAGCAGTGGAAGCACAAATGGTATATTTTCCAACCACCRGTGACCTCGATACATACAAGTTTCACACAGCAAGAGCCAGAAACACTTAATTCCCACTTAGGCACCTGAAAAAAAGCTGGCAGGTTATCAGGAGTAGCAAGCAGCTTCTATTCAGGTGTTTAAGCAGGAAGATTGGATGCTGAGCTGCTCACATTCCGACTTGACGACAGGTTTATTTATGTCTGAGAGCAGGAGATTTGCACTGACATGAAGTGTTTCGAAGGTGCTCGAACAATAATAATCTTCAAGTACATTAAGAGCTACAGAGAAATAAAGAGCCCATTCATTCAAAGAGAGAAGCACTTCAGGAATCCAATGACAACGTTTTGATGTTTGAAACGGTGATTTAAAAAGCAGATGTTATTCCAGCATGGTAGCTCCAAATAAAACCCCACTTTTAGGACAGCTGTATGGGATTCTATCATAGAGAAYTGCTTTCTTTGGAAACAAAGAAGAGAATCTACAGCATGGCCTTCATACTTAGACTGATTTCCGACACAAAACTCCCTTATGCCAGATTGTATAGGAGCAAGAATTTCAATTTCTTTCAGTGCGAACAACTTCAGATCCAGCATCCTGTAAAACACCAGGGTCTTCCAAATATCATGTTGTTTAGGCCCAAGAAACGTGATCTAATAGCAAACATTACTCAGAGAAAAAGCTTTGTACCAGAGTTTAAAAAAAAMCCATAAATAGATGTCATATATGGAGGCCCTACAGCGATTTCGGCTTTTCAGCAAAACCACCTTGCAAGGACTCACTAATACACTCACCCTTCTGGGAAGAGGAGCATGGTTCTTATCTCATCATTTACTAGACAGCAGCCAACTACAAGGGACATATGCAGATTATTAAAATTTACGGAGTCTTACTCAGGCTCCCCAGCCCTCCCCCTACCACCATACAAATGATCAATCTGCACTTGGAGCCAACTTTAAATACAAAATAATGAACCAGTAATTCTCTTGTAAGTGAACCAACACTAGCTTGTATTCTTCCCTGAATAAACACCTTTTTTTCTTTTTTTTTTTTTTTTCAGAAGAGGAAATGGACTGCTACAGAAACACAGCAACATTCAAACCCTTTAAAACAAAAGGTAGATTATTTAATGCATTAACGATGTTAATCTGAAGATAAATAAATCCACAACAGACTTAAGTTTCTTTTGAGATTTCCTTTTTCTTTGCAGAGAATATTTCTGAAATTATACAGTACTGAGAGGGTGTTCTTTTATTTTCTTAATGTCCAGGTGTAAAGCAAAGCTCAGTTCTCTCTGCTCTCTTCATGGAACTCCTCAATGCCCTATTCCAGGCGTGATTCTCTTAAGCTTTTACTTGAAAGCGGAGTGGTGAGCAACATTAATTTCAGGAATAACTGGATGGTTTGGTCCCTGAGTCATCTTCTTGAGAGCCCATACTCTGGAAGGCAAAGAATTATTTCTTCAAAAATAGGTCTGAAGATTTACCTTTGATTCAGACAGCTTAGAAGTTAATAGGTAGGAAAATAAAGTGCATACGCAATAACTTACATTTCTTGTTTTTACAAAGCATTATCTTTATCCAAGTTACTTATATATATGAAATTATCAACACAGTAAATACTGACGTTCAGTGTAACACATACTCACTGCACTGTCTTCCTTACTTTTATGGGATACTAAGTAAATTACCTTCTGCACGAACTGAGGGTTCACAGTGATCTCTTGATCCATGGCTTTCAGTCGTTCATCAAGCTCTATACATTTCAGCATCTTAAGGAAAAGAATGAAGAAAAAAAAAGAGCAAGTTAATTTTTGGCTAGCTTATAGAAAGGTATTCAAGCCATTATAAAAGTTCAGGTCAAAATGTTCTTCTCCATCTCCCCAACAAAACTGTTAGCTCATTTTCTCTTTTTGATTCACKTCTTCCTAACAATCCTTTCTAAGGCCACTGACAGCCCCACAAGGGTTCAACCACCCCAGTTTGAAGGTAGATTATCACCAACCACCAGAATTAATCTATGAGGTCTACCAAACTTTCTAAACCGGTCAATTTAAGAGTCTTCAAGTTACCTATATTATGTAGTCTAATGAGACAGCTGAAATCATGCAGAAAATACAACAGGGAACTCATTGGTAGTAACTGACTCCAAATCTAAAATATTTAAATATGAGCACTATGAAATATGACAGTAATGATTCTCCACATTTAAAGTGACCTGACTTCTTCCAGCAGTTTTCCGGTTAAAGGACTAGGACTCTTCAGTAGATTCCAACTGAAAAAAAAAAAAAAACCCTCAAAGATTATTTACCTCCTGATCAATGTTATGAAGCATAGCTGGATTGTTATATTTTTCAGGATTATCATGGAAACAGACCATACCATCTTTCTGATTAATACTTGCAAATATTTCACCATCTTCTATCTGAAATGAGAGAAGGTTTAATACAAGTTATATCTAAATATGGAATTTTGTGTAGCTGCAAGAGATGGCTGGCTTGTAGGGTCATCTTTATCTTAATTGCTTTCCACTTCTCAACAGTTGTCTGAAGCATGTCTCATTTTAAGCAGAGACTATTTCTTAAGACTTTGAGAACAATGCAAACACCATAGCACAGTAACAGTACTTCTTTCTCATCCTAAAACCRGAAAACATTCCTCAAGCAATCAGAACATTTGCTACCAAAACACCTGAAAGTTCTTACTTTGGATCTATTTCCTAAGTAGGATAATCACAGGCCTTACCATGTGGAGGACATATTTTTCTGCTTCTTGGGGTCCTGACAACTGCACTCGACTTGCCATATCTTGTAATGATAATGTAAGAAATGTCTGAAATGCAAAAAGTATCAAATCATCAAAACCCGATGCTGACAATTTGCCCAATCAAACCTATAGGACCTACATAACTTCATTTCTTGAAGTCCAACGGGCAGGATAAAGCAGAATATGCAGTTATTACTTAMAAAAGCACCAGAGAAAGAAATTACTCAGTTCCCAAAGATATCAATGTGCACTCTGCAGACATGTGCAGTACCCAAGTGGTGGAGTCATTACTCCATTTCTGCAACCCTTCTTTCCCAGAGAACTGTCCAGCCTCTCCCCACATCTTACACMCATAAGGCTTGCCCATTTCTTCAATTCACTTCACAAGATGCACGTGCTGCCTTTCTCCAGAGGTTAAGTCCACTTCAGCAAACATCATTTAAGTTAAGCTTTCTAAAAAGCAGCCCTCCCCAATCATCTTTATAGATTAATCTTATCACTTCAGCTGAGGTAGCATACAACTCCAAAAGGAAGCAGACAAATAGATATACATTTTGTATTTAGATTAAAGGAGCTACCCATGGCAGTATCCATATTGAACTACCCTTGAGATAATGCATAGGTAGCTAAAASAGTTTGTTTTCCATACAGAACATTTCAAGCACTTACAGCATTGTTTGAGAGGCAAAATTTAAGTTTTAGCCATTTTACTATGAGATTGTTACATTATCAGTTTGCTCTGATATCAAACAGTTTCAGAGAAGCACTTTGAGGGGAAAACTAATYATTCAAACATGTTTCTCAGCAAAACAAAACACGCATCTTACCTTGGTTAGCCTCTGAATATTCTTTTTGTACAGAGATGACAAGCATTGCTTAACCAGCCCCATATTGTTATCCCTTGTGAAGGTTTCACTGTGTTTGTTCACCAGATTTCGAAGCTCGGAGGGCTTATTGGTTGAATAAACTTGTGCTAATTCATGGTAAGCATTGCTAAGGGGCTGCAATTAGAAAAACAAAGATTTTCTTTAAAGAACATGGGAGTTCACCTGAATTACTTCAAAATGTCAGTTGGTTGTACTTTCGTATTAGTATCTTAATTAAGATGATGATTTTTGAACACTTTAAAAAGTTTTGGATACAAACCAGCAAACTGGGAGTTAATTAAAGCAAAAATGCCTTCAGAACTGGGTGATTTTCATAGGACCACAACTCTTTTGACAGATATTTTTTCTTCTACCCTGACCTGATCAAACTACTTATGGACTCTTTTAACTCTCAGCCTTTTCAGAAACTTTTATTCTTTAGAAAGCTAGTTTTGGGAGAAACTCAATATACTCTAGTTCTGTTTAAACTACAGACTGTAAACTACAGTCTGCTTATTCAGAAATATTAGAGAAGTCTTCTCTGACCAATTCACAGCAAGCAAAACACTGAAAAGTAGGCATTTCAAGTCTAAATCTCATGCCAGCAAAGACTGCCATAGATGTTCAAAGATCTGTATTTCACCTTGCTCTACACTGTGCAGAAAATGTTTAAGTCTAAAATTCTGCTGCTCTGCCACACATACAATTGAGAGCGCTTGAAGTACAAATGCTATTAACACAAGTTCTGTTTCAGAACAAATTATCCAACACTAAGCATGCAAAGTTTTGTCCTAGGCTTGGGATTTAGTTTTATTCCCTCTCTCCACAAATCAATCAGTTGGAAGCAGTTTCCTGTTTACTTCACAACTCTTCTTAGCTTTGCTAAGTCGCTTTGCTTAGTTTGGCATATAAATTCCGACTAGTGTTAATTCACTGCTGATACTGAAAGCGTCACATGTGAGATTACATTTCCATTACAATTCAGTGCATGTCTGTCTGCTTTCCCAGGTCAGCACTGCTTTCCTTCTGCAGAYGGGGGAATAACTGGAGCGGAGGAAAGACGGACAGTTGTTTTTCTTTCCCCTCCAGCAGTCACATGGAACAGTTGGCTTAAATACCCTKTCCTAGAGCAGTTCACCAGCTACATATGGTATCAACTTCAGCTACGTGAAGTTGCAGTTGGACTATTTTAGAACACGGGGACTACGTATTGAAGGCCAAGTGCAATTTGAGACTTGTTGATGTTCTGAAAAGGTAAAAGTCCATATACATATTACCAAAATCACCAAAACTATTACCAAAATAGTTATAATTACGATACCCTTTCCAGCCTATTTAAGCTTGCAAAAATGTGTTGTCAGTATGAACAATACAGTTTACATTTTTGTGATAGACTTTAAGAGATGCCCACAAACAATCCTTTGCCATGCCTTTCATACCAGAAGGACATTTCTTCCTAGGTCACATTGTACATTATTCCTAATGATCCAAAACATTAAACAGTACCATAAAGCAAAGGTGCAAAAATTCTTGCCCGCGTGGATGGCAAGTTTAGATTTTTTGTTCTGTTAGCTCTATTCACAAGACTTACCTTAATGAATCTACCAACTATCTGGGAAGTGTATTTTGGTAGCTGTTGAACTTTGCCAAGTAGTATCAAAGAAACTAGAATATACTTTTTATACGACTCCAACATAATATGACTGACTGCCATGGCTGGAGTAGTTATTGCCTGAGCAGGAGAGAAAGAAATTAAATAGAAAATCAATATGCTTCCTGGTAGGTCCCMGTAGGTATCGTGTGCATAGAAACTCAGTTTAAACCCACACGTACAAAGGGTACAATAACATACAAAAGATCACTTTTGAGCACTGAAACCTAACTTCTGTCAAAATTATCCCCAAAAAGTCAAAAAAGAGTAAATTCTACACTAGCTATTCAAATCACATATGTTGCTACAATGAAACCTATCCTAAAATAGCTCTGTTAAGATCAAAGCAAACTTCCTTCCTTTGTATGTATCTAAAATTGTACTAGAAAGCACCTGCAATTACTTGTTACTAGAAATGATAATCCAAGTCCATAGGATCCTTAAAGAGTTCAGTATATTACATCATCAGATCTCAGATTTAAGTATGCTGGAAGAGGCTTGCAAGATAGGGGAGGATATCTTAGTTTACTATGCCAGCTCTTAAGAGTTCATCTTTACTTGTGAAAAATAAAAATGCCACACCATTTTATTTTGTGCATTTGACATCATTTTTTCCACTCTTTTCTCAATTTCACAGTTGTCTTATCTTTCACAGAGAAAATAAAAGCAGCAAATATTATAGACTTCCCTCAAGATTAGCAAAGGTCTCAGGCAACAAAACCACTCAGCTCATTTTAACCGAGAACACACCATTCTGAACGTCAGCCTGTGAACTGCTTCTTATGCAAACAGCAATAAGCAGGCACTCGAAAAATATTTACAGCAAGATAAATTTAACATCAACCTTTGTGTTGGTGCAGTTTTATGGTGCAATAGTTACGTGGCTATAAGAGACCTTCTTAGGGGAAAACATTTCCAAAGATAACTTGCCATTATTTGTTTCCTCACTTAATGCATTTCAGAGAGAACCACTCAGGGCACACCTTCAATAAAGCGACTTATAAATAAAAGCTATCCCAAATAATTTTTATGTTTAACTATGATTTACATGTTAAAAACCAAAACCAATGCAAATGATGAACAGCTGCACAGATCTATTAACAGAACTATAACCTAAAGAACTAAAACAACAACTGGTTATATAAATAACTTTATATTAGATACACTGCACTAATAAGTGCAGGTTTTGCCAGCAAATCAGGATGGATCTGTTTTCTCAGCGCTATTCCTCAAGCCATTTCTGCCCTTCAATTGATCACATTTTAAACTTATTTTAATTTAACATTACCTGTTCATAAAAGTAGAGTGCTCTTTCAAAATTCTTTAGCCCAGTGTATATCATCCCACCATAATAGTAGTAACATAAAAAGTGCTTCGCATCATATGCCCCATTCTCTTTACAAATATCCATCATGTCCACATCTAGATACGGGAGGGCAGGTTTAAAGCATTTTGCTAACAAACAGAGCTATAAGAAAAATAAACCAGATTTTCATAAATTAGCCATTTGCATTCAAGCTTTAATGAGGAAGAAATTGAACCCCAGTTAATTTAGCACTATTTAATAAGTCTTACAGTATATGTCAGATAGCACACTACTCATTATATCATGATCTTTGAAGAACTCTTAACTTATACTAGTTCACAAACAGTATTATCTAAATCCTAAAGAAACTGTACTCTGACAAACCTACTTGAAACTCCAGGCCTTCCAGACTATGTGTTGGCAGCACTAGATATTGCACTAAACATTCCTGTCCAAACCTAAATCCCAGGAGCCAAGAATGAGACAGAAGTGGCAAATTCAGGCCAAAGGCACCAACACAAACATGCCTTTTGTCAAACTTGAGCAAAGAATATCTGGATTGTGCACTTGAACTGTCTATGTCTAGACAGAGCTGTGCGTGACTTTCTGCTCAGACAGAAGTGATGTCAAAAGACTTTTACAAGTGATGAACAAAACTAAACATCTGAGGAGATGCACTGAACATTCAAAATACAGAGGATTTTATTTCCGTATAGCACGATTTATTAGCGGGAAAAGCAATTAAAAACTACTTCATATTGCCATAGGTAAACATGCACTTCCTCAAAGGTCTGTGGGTATTTTTAAGTTTATACTCAGAATAAGCCCTAATATTATTACTCTTACCTGGCAGAGATCTGCATGTATTGAGGTCAGCTGGTTTGTGTTCATCTGCATCTTGTCTATGGCTTGTCTGAGAATGCTAATTCCTCGCAGGGGCTGTCAGAAATTACATCTCTTTCAGATAATTTCTCATAGATGGCAGCACATTGGATCTTATGTTGACACTTACAAATGAAAAATAACACTAATTGATAGGTTCCATTAAGTAACAGTTAACTTGAGGTTGTTCCCTTTTTGTACGATATTGCTGTCTCAGAAAATAAATTTTACTCTGGCTATATAACATCTCCTGATAAATTACAGTTAGCAATTCTGCTCCAAAAAGACAACCTCATCAGAAATACAGTAGTTTTTATTGATAAGAGACTCTTTTCCTAAAACCTTAGGAAGTCCCACCAAAAGAACTCTATTTCAAATTTTTTTTAAAGGAAAATGTCCTGAAAAAAGACACATTTCTTAGTATCAAAATCATTACTTAAGCTTTTTAAAAATAAATTTATGTTCATTTTAAGGCATTTAATTAAGAATGTTACCTGGTTGATTTGAAAACACTGAAATTAGTAACACTGACTCACCATTACCAGCAATATTTGCAGCTCCATTCTATTCATGTACATATTATCTGAAGAACATTCTTGGCACTGCTGCTGTGTGTGCGCTTAAAATGACCTTCCCAACAAGTTTTACACTCAATTTTTCCTTAAAATCTAGATTTAGGTTTGTTTCAATTTAGTAGATTTTTAAAAAGGAGCTGCATAAATATACCTAAAATTAAGTTATTGGCAATTCCGTATGAAGACATTAAGGGACTGGATATATAGGTAGTTTATTGATACTAGACGATACTTGCTCACCTGTTTTCTTTCCACAAGGGCATTTGTTAACTGGTGGCATAGGCCAGCAACTGAATACAAGTCAGGAATGGGCAAGGAGGAAGAAAAAGAGAAAAAACAGCAGTGAGAATCAAGAATAYCACAGTATGTAAAGAGATTAGCATAGACTCTCAAAGTGAGATTAACTTACAAGTGTCTGTTGCATATCTAATGTGCTCCCCATTACAAGTGCTGATAAAAAGCTGCACCTGTGAGAATAATGTTTCGAAGTCAGGGATGCTGGGCATAGAAAACTTCACAAACCTAAAACAAGGTAGAAAAAGAGAATGGTTTAACACTTCACTTTGGGGGATGAATAAGAAAATTCTTGTCTTCATCACTAAAGTCTCTGCAGATGCATGAAGCTGCTTGGAAACAAATCCAGTGTGTGTTATTACAAGTGGCATATGGTCTGCACTCCAGGACTACGTACCTCATCTCAGTAAAAACACTTACGTCACATTAAACATGGATTTCCCCAAGAGCTGCACAATACTTAAAAACATGTTTTCAGCACACATCTGTTTTGCACCTAGTGAAAACTACAATTAAGAACCAACTGTGGCAAACAGAAGARTGATTTTATGTGATATAGTAGTTGCAATCACAGTAGGAACATGAACTAAAGAAGATGAAATTTAACACTCAGCTATGCATAGCTTCTCCTGACACCTTTCCTTCTGTATCGTCTCCRGCTTGAATGTGCTGGAGGTTCTTTGCTATTAAACTATTAGAAGTGAATCCCTTTGGATGAGCTCTTGATGTTCACTTGAGTCTCTCTTCATGTTCAACAGACCCTTTAGCATTCTGCATCCCGAACACTTGCACACTGCTTTTTCTCTAAGGTTAGCTACCATGATGTTCATCTGACTGCAATGAAATCTTTTGCTATGCATCCTACAAAGGTCACAAAAAAAAATGCAAAACAATCTATTCAATGCTGTTGGAAGGTATCCAATCCTGCAGGAACTGAAGSTTCTGCACACTGGAATATGCAGCTCAAGGCTACCTAGGGTACCTTCCACACAAGGGTAATGATCGCCCTAGTTAAGCGCTGACACCCCTTCCTCCTCTCTTCTCTTGCAGTCTGGCTTACTAATGCTCACCAATCAGAAAAAAATACTAATAGATGAAAATGTCAGTGTTACGTCTTTTTGCTGAACATGTAGGAAAAAAGACTTATGCAGATATAAACAACTAGATAGAGGAAAAAATAAATAAAGAAAAACCAACAAGCATAATATTTTACAAGGTCCAGAATCTCTTTCCTTTGAGAACACAAACCTGCCTGGTGTTCTTTTTAATAAAGCGTGCATCATGCAAAGAAAATAAGCACCATTATAAGAAGCGTGGAGCAAAAATATCTTTGTCCGAAAGTAAGAAGTTGTGCTGACAGTTCGTGACGTTTCCTGAGGTTTTGATACCAAGAGATTTAATTAAAGGAAAGCAACACTTACAAGACAGCAAGAACGCCTAACGAGTGTTCCTGCACATCCAGGGCACCAAGCACTGTATCCAGATGGGAGAGATTTTTTGCTAGCAGTTCTCCGCTTTTATTGATCAACTCACAAAGCTGGGTCATTTGCCCTGAAACATGAAGCATTGTTATCAGACTCTAATTAGAAAACACTCATGCATTCCCGTCCTTAATTACCCTTGCTACCCTCTATAATCTGAGGAAAAAAAAAAGTAACATCATCCAGAGAAATTACTTTTTGGTAATACTAGTCATTTCTTTCAACAAGTAAGGCGTCAACAGTATTTTATTTTAAAAGGAAACCATTAAGGTTCTGCCCCGTGGGGCTGTAAAGAAAATCCCAAGAGCATTTTTTTTTTTGAAGAAGCTATAACCTTGTCACAAAAGACAACTATTTTGAAATAGGAAAGTATGCTATACCCCAAAATCGTATAAAGAAAGCAGATTACCATGAACTGCTTGAAAACAAAACAAAACAAAAAAAACCTTCAAAGAAATATTTTAAACCTTTCCTCTTTCTAAAGCAAGGTTTTGTGTCTATTTTTGATCTCAGAAGTCCCCTCAACCTTAAAAAAAATCATTATAAGATGAGGAAAAGCGAGTCTCTATTCATAGGGATTAACTTTATTTTAAAATAGCCTCTGGCCTTTTCCTTTGAAAAATAAAACCTGGGAACCCTGAAAGTATAACTTCCAAATAACAGAGAACTTAAAAGGTCTGCAGGGGCAGTGTCCAAGAACCTAGAATCACAGCTCTCAGCCCTGAAACAGCACTCTCTACAGGGCATTTTTTCCCTAAAAGGAAAAATCTATCCACTCTACTGCTACCATCTCATATTCCCCTTCAGAAATAAAATCGAAAAATTCACACTGCAGAAGGAGAGAAATACCCACATGGGGTCAGACAAAGGTCTCCTTATCTAATCCATCATGCAGGTGCTTCGGGAGGATGACAAGCTCACAAACTTGKGCCTCCTGTCACAGCCTCCAAGAGTTTGTGCTCAGGGGTGTTCTGCCCAGCTGATTACTCCCTAAAGGACCAATTTCCATGAATTTGAGCAGTCTTCTCTCAAGCTTTTAGCACTGCAAATCCTTGCAATAAAAAGGCCCACAGCTAAACCGCCTATGTATAAAGCAACACCTTCTTTTGTTTATTTTGTACTTGCATCTTGCAGGTGCAAGATTGYCTCTCGCATCTGATACCCCAAGTAAAAATTCTATATATTAACTGGGGTAAAATAAATAGTAAGAGTAAAATTGAGCTCTATCCAAATGTAACTGCCAGAGATAAAGTCTGGGGCCATGGAAATCACCGAAAACTGATGCTTCCTTCTAGGGAGCGAATATCCCAAGTAGAGAGAAAAAAAAAAAAAAAGAGAGAATGGACTTTCAGGAATATCAGTATAGCTAGAAAGTTTAAGAATTAGGAAATACTGTACCCACATGCAGGAAGAAAGAGTTTAGCAATAAAACTGAGAAAGTCTTAACGATGGATATTAAAAAAACTTGGCTGGGGGGAACAAGATATACAGTCTTAAGCCTTCCAATAAGTAAAAACAATGGTAATAAAAACCACTCAGCAGAGGAGACGGGAGCTTCCCCGCGCCCCAGACGCAAAGGGCCTTCACCCCCTCGCGCCGCCCCTCCTGCGGGCGCTGACAGACCGGGTACCTGACGCCAGTCAAGGCTCCCCCCGCGCCCCCGGAGCTCAAGGCTCGCATTTCGGCTGCCTCCACGTCCCGCGCCCCCCGCGGAGGCTCCGGTACCGACCCCGCCGCGGTGGAGCAGACGAGGCGCCAACCCTGTCAACCCGGCCCCTCCGCCGCCCCTCGCGAGCGGCGGGGAGGCCCTAAAGCACCGCCCGGAGGCCGAGCGAGGGCCCGGCCGGCGCCGCCCGCCCCATAGGGCCTCTGCACCGGAGCGGCGCTGCCCACCGCGGGCTCCCGGCCGGGCCCGCCCAGCACCGGGCCCTGCTCGGGGCGAGGCGGCCCCGCTCCCGCCGCGGTCACCTTGGGCCGAGAGCTGCCGGACGCTGTTGACGAACTGCTCGAGGGCCGACGCCATCTTGGCGGCTGGCGGCGCGGCCGCGCGCGGGGCGGGGCGGGGCGGGGCGGGCGGGGCGGGGCGGGGCGCGGACAGCAGCCCGGCCCGGCGGCGGCGGCGGGGGGAAGCAGCGAGGGGCCCTGCGGCACGGGCGCCGCCGCCGCCAGCCAATCAGCGGCCGCGGCGGGAGCCGCGCCACGCCCGCCGCGTTGCGTCACTTCCGCCGCCGTCCGCTTCTCCTCTCGCGAGAGCGCCACCCTCCCGCCGTGGTTGCCGCGGCAACGGCCGCCTTCCGCTCCCCAGCGGAAGTGCCCGCCCCCACAAGAACACCCGGCGCGGGAGGCCATCTTAGTGCGGGCGGCCGTGACTCAGCAGGGCTGGGGCGTGACGTCATCATGGCGTCATCCGCCCCCTCCCGCGTCACGTTGGCACGGGCTGCTCCGCGCTCCCCCCCTTTCCTGTGCATGACGTCACGAGCGGCCCATATGACGTCATCCAGCACCTTTCCCCCGCAGTGAGGACTGCTCTCGCCTTCACCAACTCACTTGGTTTCCGYAGCTCGTTTGCCCTGTGCGAGGATCGAGGGCAGTGGGCGCCCCTGGGAAATCTTCCAGAATTGGGGTGAAATATTCCGGATTTGGGCAGTCCTGTCAGTGCTGCCGCCCGGGTTCTGCTGTCACCGGCGCTTCCCTGATGTGTCCTGTGCTGCTTGGCAGGGGCACAACGGACGGACCCTCATGGGGCAGTTTCTGCGGCTGCCGGCACCTAAATCGCCCGCTTCACTGTGCGGCAGGTTAAAGGGCAGCAAAGCGTCGCTGTCGCACAGCTTCTCCTGGGGCCATTTATCCTGTAAAACGTTCATATCGCAGAATCACGGAATGGCTGAGGTTGGAAGGGACCCCTAGAGATCACCCAGACCAACCCCCTGCTCCAGCAGGGACACCCAGAGCACGGGGCACCCGTGTCACATCCAGGCGTGTTGGGAAGATCCCGAGAGCAGGAGCTGCCCCAGGCTCCCCGGGCAGCCTGTGCCAGGGCTCGGGCACCCTCACAGTGCAGAAGTTCCTCCTCACGTGGAGATGGAATTTGCTGTTTTAATTTGTACCCATTGCCCCTTGTCCTGTCACTGGCCACCACGGAGACATACAGACACGTATGGACACAGACGCCCATTTCATTAGAGTAGTCACTGTGTGGGTGACAGTGGGCACCAAGGRGACACACTGGGACACAGGTGGGTGCTCAGCACCCCTGCCATGCTGCAGTGGACACCAAGGGGACATTGTGGGACACAGGAGGGGACACAGTGGGACATGGGTGGTGCTCAGCACACTGCCGTGCTGCAATGGGCACCAAAGGGACACGCTG